CCCCCTCCCTCAGGAATGCAGCCAGCTCCAGTTCCCTAAAGAGACAGGCTGAGGGTGTGGTCCCCTGTGTGCTGGGCCCATCCTAATTGAATGGTCACAGCACAGAGATTTAAATCACAGTGTCACAGGGCAGAGATTTTTGGGGAGAAACCAAGGTGGCTTTCTGCCACACCCTGCACCAAGCAGGAAAGATAACTAGAGGTCAGGTGACCCCAGCAAGGTGACTGTTTAGTCTCTTCTTGAAGATTTCCAGGGTAGGCAATTGCACCACCTCTGGAGGGAGCTTATTCCACAGTCTGGATACCCTAACTATGAAGAAGATTTTCCTAATGTTGAGCCTGAATCCATCTTCCAGGAGTTTGTGGCCATTACACCCAGTTTTCCCTTCACGTGCTCTGGTGAACAGTTGCTCACCAAGCCCTAGATGTACTCCCCTAATGTAGCGGTAAGCTGCTACCAGGTCCCCTCTCAGCCTTGTTTTCTTCAGGCTGAAGAGTCCCAGATCCCTCAGCCTTTCCTCGTGTGGCTTGCCATGTAAGACTCTGATCATACAAGTGGCTCTTCTTTGGATTCTCTCAAGCTTGTCCACATCCTTGTTAAAGTGTGGTGTTCAGAAATGGAAGCATCACCTCCTTGGTTTTGCTGGAGATGCATCGATTGATACAAGCCAGAATATTATTTACTTTACAGGCTACAGCATCGCACTACCGGCAATTCATACTGTGGTCTATTATTACCCCCAGATCCCTTTCATTTGTGGTGCTAGTCAGTTTGGTGCCGCCAAGCCTGTAGGTGTGTTGGGGGTTGCTCATCCAGAGGTGGAGCACTTCACATTTTTCAACACTGAACTTCATCAGATTCTGATCCGCCCAACCTGCTAGCCTGTCCAGGTTTGCCTGTAATTGCAACCTATCTTCAAGCATGACCACGCGTCCCCATAACTTAGTGTCATCCATGAACTTGGCCAGTGAGCTCTTCACCCCCACATCCAAATCGTTAATTAAGATGTTGAAAAGGGGCTGTCCTGGATGATAGTCTCCCATGAGTTAATTTCAATGATGCATGTTTTTCAAGTGAAGCACTTTCTCTGTCCTCCTCTTGAGTTCCACCTTGGCTGAGCTGGGAGAGTAAAACTTGCATTAAGTGTCTGGAGTTGGACATTTAGAAGACGTGGCCAGCCCAGCAAAGTTAAATCGGGTGATTGTTGCCTCAATACTTGTGATGTTTGCTTGTGAGAGGATGATAGCTTTGGTGCATCTGTCTTCCCAATGGATTTGAAGAATCTTCCACAGGCAGCATTGATGGTACTTCTCTGGTGACTTGAGGCAGGTCCTAGTCATCGGGGACTCCCTCCTGCGAGGGCTG